CCTAAACCCTAAACCCGTCGTGAAAAGGCAACATGCAAGCGCCCTTCCAAAGGTCTCCGCACTCTGCTTTCCCCCGCCTAAATCATCCCAAGACCCAGGGAACCCTATGGCTTATGGGTTAAGGGTTTAGCCATCACCCTAAACCCTACCCGGTAAACGGATTCTCGCCTCCCACACGAGCCTCAAAGCCGTTAGGGTTCAAGGTTTTAGCGTTCGGCTTTAGGACTCTCTCTCTCTCTCTTCGGCCTGTGTTCTGGGCTTACTTATTGCCTTCGGGCTTGTGGACTACGGTAAGTCAAGTATTGTTAACCGGGGTCTTTCTCCGACGCGCAGCGGTATAATCATAAGTTCCAGGCTCAGAAGGTACAGAGTTCACAGACGCGCAGAGAAGAGCCGTCCCGTCCTGACCCGTGTAGCCTGGAGGACAAGCTACAACGCCTCAGGTGCGACGGCAGAAGTGGAAAAAGAGCCTCCCTCTGGATGGCCATAGCTTCCGCAGAAGAGATGCCAGCTTCATGGGGTCTCCATGATACTATAGGCATCTAATGGATCTATCTATCAGTCTATAAACATTCAACAGAATCATGGCAAACAACCCCGCTTGGAATGACAACTGCAAGAAGGCCCAACGTTGAAGCATGTCTTATCTTCACAACTCGTTCTTGATACCACGGACACAACTCACTACTATCAATGAGCACGATACACTGCCACCACCACTGAAACGCCGAGTACACTGCTTCTGCTACTACAACGATGACGCTGGCAATTACCGATGAAGAGCTTCCGACAACCCACGTTGGCAGGTCATGTATTTGCCTTTCAGCGTTTTGTCGTGTTGTCGGCCTTTTACATGGCGCAAGGTCTGGATGAATTACATAGTATTTAGACTTCATCCTCTTGAGCCCAAGTCCATCAAGCCTCACCCTTCAATCCTGAACACCAAACTCGAAATGTTGCAGGTCTGTTAACCTCCAAGTTGCATGGGCCCGAAACTTGAACCCTGAACCTCAATCGTGGTGCGGCCAGGCAGCAGAACTCACCTGCTTTGGTGTCTACCTTATGACTCTGAATGGAGCCCAAGCAACACAAACGTGAAAACATTGATCATGAAGCAATGTCTTCCTACGCAATATACGCGACGTCACTACGCAACTCAGCAGCAGTAGCAGCAGCAGCACCAGCATCAGCACCACGATTACCATCATGCTCACTGTCAATCTTCGCGTGTTAGTTTTATCATGTTTCTGGTCATGAACTGCGGCACCATTTGTTTGTGCATCGTTCCTGTGAACATGAGCTACTCCACTATCATCGTCGCAAGAATGATCTTAGTATGTAGTGATTTCAATGGCCGCCTCGACAGGCGGCGTAAAACTGCGAACGTAGGGGCCTTAATAATTAGANNATAGGGTTTTGGCCTCCTTCATAGTAGTGTTATAATAAGGAGCCCACACAGTAATATCTATTTAGGCTTCTATATTAGTCATCCAAGCATGAACTATGAGGCTATGAGGAGGCTCAACCGAGACTTCTGCAGGCCGGAGAATCTGCGACCATGCTGCGCAATCCGCCGTGCTGTAGTTTGATGGCAGCTGCGCAACCTCCGAAGTTTACGGCTCATCGACTCCGGCTTGAGGGCCGAGACTTTAGAGTCTTAAGGGTTTTTGTCCTTTAAGGCTCTAAAGTTAAAGGGGTTAGGGTTTAGGTTTAGGAAGTCGGGCTATGTCCGAAAATTTCTTGGACCAGTACCATTGAAGTCTATAGTCTGTGGGTCGGAATTACGGCGTAAGCATTACAAGACTTGGCGCTGAGAGTCTCGGCAAACAGGGAACACTAAAACAAGATTGCCATAAGGGTTTAGGGTTCTGGGTTCCTAAACAAGGTTGTCATAAGGGTTTAGGGTTTAGGGT